AATCATTTCGAAACTACAGGACGGTATTCCGGGAGCTCCCCCTGTACTGTATAATCATTTCCGAACTACGGGACAGTATTCCGGGAGATTCCCTGTTGTGGTTACCTTGTTCTGAGCCGAGGGTTCCCTTATTTGTTAGATTTTTGTGAATTTCTTTTATTGCTTTACCGTAAAATTTATTATGGTTGTTTATATATTGGATAGCGATGCACGTCGTAGCAATATAGCGCTTGGGCTGAAGGAGCCCCTTCGGAGTCTGCACACACTCCCAATGAGCGCAGGTACCTATTGAATGTGTGTACTGAGGGCTGAGAGCTGAGTGATTGAGCCGTTGAGATGAGTTGAGTGACTATTGTCTTGAGAGGCAGTACTTGCTTTCAATTATTTGTTGCACTTAGTTGTTATCTGTCCTTGTTGTGCAAATTTCTGGAAGACTTGATATCTGGTTTACTTGAGCACGAACTAATTTGACTTAAACTGCTAGATTTGAAACCATGTCTGTTCTTTATTGAAAGTTACTGAAATAAACTCCATTTGCATAGCTCGTAACTGCTTCTCAGTTCCTTATTTGTTTATGTTACTTACTGAGTGGGAAGTACTCACGTTACTCCCTGCACCTTGTGTGCAGATTCAGGCGAGACCTTTCGCGGAGGTCATTAAGTTCGTGCGTAGTCGACTATCGGAGACATACGAGATAGCTTCTGGCGTCCACAGTCCTTGTCTCTCCTTCCTTGTTATCTTTTCTTTCTGTTTTTGGCATTTGGCAGACTATTGTAAACTTTTATTCTAGACTAGTTGTAGATGCTCATGACTTAGTGACAACCCGATGTCGGGCTATCTTCTCGCATTTTTTATTTGAGTTTAACTCCTGTCTTTATGAAATTTCTGTTATGAAAAAGCTTTGATTTATCTTTTTATGAAATAACGAAGTGTTCTGAAAATGTCGACTTGCCTAGTTCCATGATAGGTGCTATCACGACAGGTTAGAGTTTTGGATTGTGACAATTTTGCACATGTATTCTAGTATATAGAAGAGCCTTGGAAGCAGCTGGCCGTCAGCTTGCCGACCAAGGCTCTTTTTGGTCATTTCATATTTAGATTTTATAATTGTTTGATCGTTTAAAGTGGCTCTAAGTTTTGATTGGTTCAAATAACTTGATTATTGTGCTAACTTTATTAATTTTGGTTGTATAGACATTTTAGCCCCTTGAGGGAGCCGTGTATCTTTTCGAGTGGGTCCATCTCCCATTACAAATTGCGGCTGGAAAACCCATTACCATGCCTGGCAACTTTTTATATATAACTCGCCCAATTCTATGAATGCCTGTGGGGACACAAATTTTTGGTTTAAATATATTCATGATTACTTCTAAACTCTAAAGCTCAGAGCTGCCACTATCAAACTGTTTAGAAATTTTCAAGAACTAACTTTATATATCATAAGCTATAATAGATATTATGGTAATTTAATTTTATAAATTTCTTCTAAATTAATTTTGTAGATCACATACTAAAATTATTTATGTGATAATTGATTTTTTACTTGAAATTATAATGCCCAAAAAGTTATAGATGTCAACTTATTTCAACAAAGACTTTCTTTCTAAAAATCAAATCATTTTACAGGAAAATATTTATCAAATCATCTTCTAATACCTTTTATTATGGTTAACTTTGGTAATTTCAGTTCTAAAAACTCTTAATATGGTGACTGTATCAAATATTATTTGGGTTGGTAAAATCCGTGCACAATGTTTTGTGAAATAGTTTGATAAATTCAAGTTGAAGAAAAATATTTTGCAAAAGACATTTTATTTTTGCGTCATATTTTTGTTTAATTGTCTATTATAAAGTTAGATTTCATTTTAAGGTCTTTTTATCTTTTCAAAATTTTCTCAAAAGGTTTTCAAATAGATATGTAAGTGAGCTCTATAAAATACATAAGATTTTTATTGTTTACTACTTCGCGATTACTGACCTATATTAACTAAGAGTCTACTTTCTAAATAATCCGAATGAAAATGAGATGAATGGAGCACACAAAAAGGTATTAAACGTTCATAGTTCTAAGGTTGAAACTTTTTAAATATCTATCAAGCAACAAACTAAAATAACAAAATTTAAAACATCATAATTAAATTAGGTATCTAAAACAAAAGAAGGTAGAACCAAGAATGAGCAAAAAAAAATCACATTATTAATTCAAGCATTTTACTTTTTTGAGAAAATTTTGTTTAAAAAAAATAGAATTGGTTGCCTTTTGAAAGACGTGTTTATTTCCTCACTTTCATGTATCTTATATTTCTTTATTTTATCTTAATGTTCTAAAAGTTGACAGTAGAAATACATTATTATTATTATTATTATTATTATTATTATTATTATTATTCCTGTAGGACTAAAAAGATAAAACATTTAGTTGGGTGAATTGAATTTAAATTAAAGTACAACAACAAATTATAACAAAAAACAAATTAACAAGTAGAAAACAAACTTTGTCACAGTTCAGATTGTTGGGCCCGTGCGTAAGCACGGGCAACGTAATCTAGTAGTAAATAGAAGTCTTTTGGTTAAGCTTACCTGTTATGACATTTGTACAGAAAATGATCATTATGTCATGTTTTGCCCTTGCGTTCTTTAATATTTTTTTTTTCTACATTTTCATGTCAAAGCAAATAAATATTGGTAAAGTTTTGTAAATTAATGTAACCAACAATTACCTATGCATTACTAATAACATACAGTTATTTATTGTTTTCGCATCTTTAGATCTACTGAATATTATATTAAAAACAAAAATAAAGCAAAAATACAAGGAGAATTCCAGAGGCAGTATGACGATTGTAGATAAATATTAAAAAATATAGAATCATATGTTGACATGCCCATCTAGAAATAAGAGATAAAAACTAAGTAAAATTAATAAATAACCAGGAAAACCTAACCAAACTATAGAAATGTTGGAATGAAACCAAAATCCAAGGCCAAAGGAGGAGCAAACAAAACAAATGCATAAGATGTGTAAGAGAAAGAGAAAAATAGTTGTTCAAGACAGAGACTTACTTTCTCTCTTGCCCATCTTCTTCAGGTGCATGAGCAGAATCAGTTAAAAGGATAGCCAAAGCTACAGAATTCTAGAAAATCTGGTAACTTTTTAAGAAATCAGTAGTAAAACGACAAACATCATGGAAGATGAATTGGCAGAGCTAAATCTCTAAAACAACATGGAATTGTGCCTCTCGCAAATCCCTAAACGTCGATACATGGTCACGCCCAATTCTATTCCTAAAAAGGATAAGCGGTCGCTGCAAATATAATTCAGTCTAAAAGTAAGGAGACGAATCCCATAGAGAACTAAGCTATCGCTATAAGTGTTCAATATCGCTAAGAAGACAAGCTCGAATAAATTCCTAAGTTATAAATATTAAGATTCTTATGTCTAACTAATGAACAAATAAATTAAAATATTAAATTAACAACTAAAGATTTTAGTTTGGAGACAAGATTAAGGAGGTCTAGAATTATGATTTCCCCAATTGTCGGAATCCTTCCAGCTATGTTTCCTACAATTTCGCCTAAGTATTCTCTACTGACCGTGAGCACTTCAAGTGTCGTCATTCTCTCTCGAGCAACTACAACAATTTACTATAAATATACTCTCGAACTACGCTAGCTCGTACTTTTTTACCGCTCACTAGGATCACGTTAAAGCTTCATTATTTTTAATCCCACTATTAAACCCGCAATATTCTCGCATATACCTTAGGAGTGTGTTTTACGCAGTAAAATTACAGTACACGTGTTTACACAATGTAGTACGTGTGTTTTCCGAAAGATTGGTGACTTAATTACCAATTTATCCCTAAATAAACTGATAATTACCCAAGTACTAAGGTAAGAATAAAGCAAGAAAGACAGAAAAAAAAAGGAAACAAGATATAAGGAATCAAATATCAAATTCGCTTCTAAATTATCGTTCGGTAAAAACACAGCTTTATTTGGACAATGTAGAATAGTACTCCTTTCGCTCCACAATAAGTGATTTTTTGATCTTTTTTTTGTGTTCCAGAACATCTGAAATTTTCAGATTTCAAGAATGATTAATTATTTTTTTCCTACATTGCTCTTGGAGTAAATAGCATTGGAGTATGTGTTAGGAGTATTTATGTGAAGAAGTAGTAAAAGTTATAATAGTCAATTTCATTGCTAATTAATGTTAAAAATAAATTTCATAATCTAAAACATCCAAAAAAATCACTTATTGTGGACCGGAGGGAGTAATAAATTATTATGTGCTCCCTCCGGTCCACAAATAAGTGACCAATTTGCTTTAGGTACATCCATTAAGAAAATACTAAATTTTAGACGAAAATAGTTATTGTGACTAAACTACCCTTTAAATGTTGCACCATAGTTATAGTAGCACTTACTTATCTTCTCAAATGTGAGGAGTAAATGACTTTTTAGGAATACGTATATAAGGATAATTTTGGAAAACTAAATTGAATTTTTTCTTGATTATATAAATGAACACAAAGCAAATTGGTCACTTATGTGAACCGGAGGGAGTAATAATAATTCTAATATGGTAATAAAAGGGATTTTGTTGTTTTCCCAAATTAAGTTCCATAGAAAAACAAAAAATGGCAAAGGATCATCCAATAGTAAATGTAGAATTTAATACTAGTAAAATTGGTTAGATTAATATGGTAAACCAAATATGGATAGCAATTAAATAAAAAAGAGAGGATAAATGCCTAAAAATGGGGAATGTATTACAACAATAATTTCTTCTATTTAGAGAGGGAAATGTGCAGTAATTCATTCATCCATCAATGGCACAACCATTTTTTTCATCTTCCTCAGTCCTACCGATCTAGTTTTTTCCCAATCAGTTTTTTTGTGTTCTTTTCGCTTGTAATACTTAGCCGTTATTTTGGATTTTTTCTTTGTTAAGAACGCATATTTATCTAGATTTGTTGTGTGTCCATTTACTATATATGGGCACCAGCGAAATTGGGCGACGGCCTTTCCCTGAAGATTTAGACGGAGAAATTCTACTCAGGCTGCCCGTGAAGTCATTGTTTAGATTCAAATGCGTGTATGTTCTTATCAAGAGCCCTACTTTTATTAGAAAACACTTGAATTGTAGCAAGAATAGGCCTCCCCAACTCCTGATTTATGATTATGGTGCGCGTGATGATTCCCCTCCTATTACTTTGATTTCGGAGAATCATGGTGATGGTGAAGCTCCTAATTATATCCATAGATTTAGAGGTTTGACAAAAGTTATAGGCTTGTTTTTGTTGCAGAAAGAAATTGATCCCGAAAATAGGTACATGCAAATCTTTGCAATGGCGCTGTGGAATCCTTCGACCAGAGAGGTGAGGCACCTCCCTCCACACAAAATCGAGTACACTCACTTTGGGTTCGGATTAGATCCCTTGACTAATGACTATAAGGTGGTTTACTATAATTTCCACTTTGGTGAATATGAATATGCAGCTGTCTACTCTTGTTCTACTGACTCATGTACAAACATTACACCTAAAATTAAATTCTATTCCTACGGACGCTCTTTAGATGAAGCCTATAGTACTGCTTATCTGAATGGGGCTTATTATTGGCTGCTAAGCGAGGGGCTTAAGTACAGCATTGTTTCGTTTGACTTTAGCAATGAGGTGTTTGAAGAGATTGAAGGGCCAGATGATTCATCTGGTATGAGTCTGATATTGCTTGACGACTCGGTTGCCCTCTTGACCTTTATGGAAATTGTGTTCATGATATATGGGTAATGATCCAACCAGGGGTTTGGAACAAACTTTTTACCTTTCAAAGCTTTACATGTATTAAGACTTGGTATTCCAGCAGTCTCATTTTGGCAACTAGACGTTCTTGGCTAGTCTCCTATAATGTTAGGACTAAGAAGACGCGACGTCTTGGATTTTGTCATCCAGGCCTGCGATACAGCTGTGGGGTTTATGTTTATAAGGAAAGCTTAGTAACATTGAAACGAGAGAATGGAGAGCAGCTGGACCATCGCAACTTTCCTGACGCCTCCTTTGAGCTTTAAACAAGAGTATGCAACAAACTAAAGGGTGGAGAACATAGAGGGGCAGCGACAAACACACCATCCCATAGTTTAGAGTGTTCCAGCGAATTGATATAGAGTAGGTTTCCGAGATAAATGAATTGATTGTGTGAATTCCTGACTCTTACCTTTTTAATACAGTTATGAAGGAATTACAGCGATACACTCCTTTGATTTTTTATTTAGATTTGCTACTGTGTCACTTTAGCGAGAGATGTTACAAGATATGCTGAAATATTTGGTTCATAAAGATTTTGGAATTCAGTCAGCAGAAACTTTGGAGTGAGAAATTTGAGCCATTTATATATCACATGTTCCGCTCATTCAGTCTGTCTTCATCTTGTATTTGTATTCCTCTGTAGTAGCATCCTGTTGCTTAGGAAATTTGAATAGTGAGCTGAATGGAAAGAGTAGCTCGTCTCTGTGAAACAAATTATCTTGAGACATTACAAGACACGAGCTTTCCCGAGATGTTGAAATGTTTTTATTCACCAGATTTCCTTCTGCTTTTGGATCTTCTAATTATAGGAAATTGCTAATGTTCTTTATTTATGTTTCCATTCTCTTTCTTCATCTTTTATTGTGGTGAGAATTTCAGGATTTCTGCTGTTAATGAGTGACATTCTGCATAACCTTAGCTTCATCATTGGCTGCAAGGTTAGGACCAACAAAAATGGCTGCATTTCACTTCTACTTGCTCTTGTTGGTTGGCTGTTTCTGGTCAGACGATCTTCCTATCATTTTCCAAAGCGCAATTTGTTGAATAAATTAAACAGTCAGATGGGAGATGGTGCAGAAAAATCTGTGTCAAATGCTTAAGTAATAAAGTGGAAGAGAATCTGTCAAAAAATTGTAACCTTATTGTCCATGGATTCTTGATTTACCGAAGAAAGACTGCCATTATTCCCTCCCAAAAATAACCTGCCACTATGTGCACACTTGTAGTTGCCAAATGACTACTGGGAAACCTATTACAAGTTCTCAAGTATAAAAGTAGGAAGAAAATATATCCTAAAATGTGTCGTATTCTCTGTGAATTCCTTATTATTTGAGAATGATTATCATGTTTCCCTCTCAAAATAACCTCTTGCTATGTGCACATCTATACTTGTCGCCAAATCCACAGGGCTTTGGTGGCATTTCTCAGAGTGAGTGAGCAACAAATATTTGTTAAAATATCATGGTATAGCCAGTTTTCACACTGGTCAATGAAAAATAGCCAGCGTTTATCAAGTCAATGAAAAATAGCCACTATTTTGCTGCAACAAGGACCGGTCCAGTATAATATACGGGAGTTCTGGTGCATTTGTGTACGAACTCTAGCATATTATGCTGGACCGGTATACTTTGCTAACTCCTGTAAAATTTGCGGGAGACTGGAGCACCAGTGCTCCAAACTCCAGTATATTATACTTGACAATTATACTTGCTGGAACTCCCGTAAAATTTGCGGGAGTTCCAGCATAGTTATCCTGGAACTCCCGTAAAATTTACGGGAGTTCAAGCATACTTATGCTGGAACTCCCGTAAAATTTGCGGGCATATTTTTCCGGATTTTGAACAGTGTTTTCGCTCAGATTTAAAGTGGCTAAATTTCGATGACTTTTGAAACTTGGCTATTTTTCAACGACCAGTGGTAAATCTGGCTATTTTTGAATTTCTCCCCAAATATTTAGCTATCAAAGCCCAAATGTGAATTAACAATTAGTACTATAATTAGTTACTACTATTAATCTTTCTGCCGAAAACAATATAATATACTGTATAGAGGAATTACAATTATCTGAGAGTTGTGTCTTGATTCATATATCTCTAAGTTGCGTCTGCCAGTCATGCTTCCCTCAAACTCCCCCCTCCTGCCTTTAATTCGAATTTTAAAAATCCATCACAACCAAATAGAAAATTTATTAGTACCTGATAATTACGCTAAATGATACTAATTTACTATGATTAAGTGATAAATTAAGGCGAGAATATAGTACGAAAGGTAAAGAAAAAAAAGATATAAGGAGGTCGTAACAGGTTAGATCAAATATCAAATTCGCTTCTAAATTTGTATCGTTCGGTAAAAAATACAGCTTTACCTGGACAATGCAGAATAGTAATACATTACCATACAATAATAATTCTAATATGGTAATAAAAGGGATTTTATTGTTTTCCCAAATTAAGTTCTATAGGAAAACAAAAAATGGCAAAGGACCATCCAATAGTAAATAGTATAAATTTTCATACTAGTAAATTTGGTTAGATTAAAATGGTAAACCAAATATGGGCAATTAAATAAAAGAGAACGAATCAATGCCTCAAAATGGGGAATATATTACAATAATTTCTTCTATTTATAGAGGAAAATGTGTAGCAATTCGTTCATGAATTGCAGTACCATTTTCTTCATCTAAGTACTAATTTCGGGAAACTAACCCTTATTTTGGATTTTTTCTTTGATAAGAACGCATCTTTATCTCGATTTGTTGTGTCCCCATTTACTATATATGGGGATCAGCGACAAAGAACAGACATCAAACGAAGAGCACCACGATTCATCTTCTATAAGGGGACATTGTTTCATCGCTCTTTTGAAGGACTATTCTTGCGATGTCTTGACAAAGAAGAAGCCCGCCAAACGATGGAGGAAGCACACTCTGGCTCATGTGGAGCACATCAATCTGGTCCCAAGCTCCATATCGCATCAAGAGGATGTGCTACTACTGGACGACAATGGTGAAGGATTGTATTGAGCATGCCAAAAGATGTCAAGCATGTCAATTTCAAGCCAACTACATCCATCAAGCTCCAGAGCCTCTTCATCCAACTGTAGCTTCATGGCCTTTTGATGCATGGGGACTTGACGTTGTTGGACCACTTCCAAAGTCGTCAAAGGGACAGATGTACATATTGGCCGCTACAGACTACTTCTCTAGATGGGCCGAAGCTGTTCCACTCAAGGAGGTGAAAAAGGAAACTGTTGTCAATTTTATCAAGTCATATATAATTTTTAGGTATGGCATACCAAGATACATAATCACTGGTAATGGAACGCCATTTAACAACAAGCTCGTAAAGAGTCTATGCGAGAAGTTCGGTTTCAAGCAACATAAGTCCTCAATGTATAATGCACCTGCTAACGGCCTTGCTGAAGCTTTTAACAAGACGCTTGGTAACCTTTTGAAGAAAGTTGTTGCAAAGAACAAGAGAGACTGGCATGAGAGAATTGGTGAAGCTTTGTGGGCATACCGGACAACCTTCAGAACTGCTACACAAGCAACTCCTTACTCTTTGGTGCATGGCATAGAAGCAGTCCTGCCGTTGGAGCAACAAATTCCATCATTGCGGAAAGCAATCCAACAAGGACTCACGTCCGAAGAGAATGCTCAACTTCGCCTAGCAGAGTTAGAGGTATTGGATGAGAAAAGATTGGAAGCGCAACAAAAATTAGAGTGCTATCAAGCTCGACTAGCTAGAACCTTCAACAAGAAAGTGCGGCCACAATCATTCCAAGTGGGAGACTTAGTCCTAGTTGTTCAACGACCCATAATCCTCAACAAACGCATAGGCGACAAGTTTACCTCAAAATGGGTTGGGCCATATATTGTGAAGGAAGCCTATTCAAGTGGTGCATACAAAATTGTCGATAAGGATGGTCTCAGAGTTGGTCCGATCAACGAAAAATTTCTGAAACAGTCTTCCCATGAAAGTCATGATGCTCCTCGACGTACGAGCCTAAACTGCAATTCATGATGCTCCTTGATGCATGAGCCTAAACTGCACGTTGCTACACTCCTGGCCCACATGAGTCTAAACTGTGCACGGCCAAAAAAATAAAGTCCGCTAGGTTGAAAACCTCGCGAGAGGCGGCATAGGAAAAAATTAGGACATAAAAAAAAAGGAGAAAAAAACTCATCCCTTTGGACTACGTTATGACTTGATCCTCATCACCGAGGTATGTAGGCAGCTTAGACTTTCATTCTAAGTTGAGTCGCATGAGTCTTAAAAAAATAAAAGTTTGGCATCATCGGATCATTAAATTAATTCTTCCAAGTGTAGAGGCACATATCTATGAGGAAAAGGAGACGATTTGCGTTGAAGTATAAAAGATATTTTATTGCTTCAACAGTACAAAAGTTGATACATCCAAAAATGTAGAGACAACAGGAACTAGACATTTGTCTATACAAAAGCCTAAATCATGAAGATGATCGTAAACTAAACTTTGTTGCTGACGCGTCTAAATGCTTTTCCAAGTCTGTATGATGTCTCCACATTTGATGCCATCCTCAATTGTTCGTTGAAGGTCCCAATCACCATGGGAGCCGCCACTGATGAACTTCACGACTATCAACAAATCAAGTGCAATAGTTGGTGAACGGGTGGCTCCACATCTTGTATGACACCTCGGTCTGATATCCGGACTCTTTGAGCTTCTTTGTGAGTCTACAAAAGAAATAAATGAATAGATAAGATTTGTGAGGCATATAGCCAAAGCTACTACATGCAAGACTGTAGAGTCAATTTCAAGAAGAAAAAAAAACATTTGTAGGACAACTCAGAGAGCATAGAGCTGGAAAGCAAGCTCGACAGACGACGAGATCAATTTTGGAAAACTACTGCAGTCCATCCTGAAGACGTTGTGCTTCAAACATTTTATGTGTTGTAGATTTGGATGTCTAGTTTGCAAGAACACAAAACTCTTGCAATTTGGAGGCCCCTAGCTCAAGATATGATTTTTTTTCGCCGGAACTACACGAATCTGAAAGTTTACTGCAGCTAGGTGGACTTTGAGAATTTTCTGCTTCTAGCTCGGAAGGTTTTCTGCCATGAAAATCATATGTATTTCAGCTATATGAGTGTACTTTCAAATGGCGCAAACGGATCGCAATTTGGAGTCTCCTTGCTCGAGACATGAAGTTTCTACAAAAGTGCGCAAAGCTGGATTGCAAGTGCGGCAAATATCATGAGCAATTTCAGAATGTTATTGCAACCATTCTGAAGGGAATCCTGCTGCAAAATTTTCAGGTGTTATTGGTGACGGAGTTTTCTTTCCAATGGTGCAAACGGCTCGCGATTCGGATACTCCTATCTCGAGATATCAACTTATCAACGAGAACATACAGTGCTGTGAAGTAAAAACTGTCACACCTCCTTTTTTACACACCTACCCCGAAGGATAATGTATAAGGGAGTTTTTCCATTTAAAGTGTCATTATTCGAAATGGGATTATTTATTTATTTTTAGAGTCACCGCTTGGGATAGGATTGGTTTTTGGTGTCCCAAGTCACCGGTTTAACTTGAATCCCAAATCGAGGAAAATTTCGACTTCCCAATTGGAGTCTGCGAACCAGAAATTCTGAATAAGAAATTCTGTTGACCCGAGGGAAGGTGTTAGGCACCCCCGGATCCCGTGGTTCTAGCACTGTCGCTTAAATTATTATAAATGGCTAAAATCCAATTTTTGTATATGCTCCAACCTATAGTGCACTTTCAAGATTATTTACCGCTTTTAGTTATTTTTACGAAAGTGAACGCCGTTTAAGAGCGTGTTCTTGGATCACATCACATGAAATGCACCCGGATCCTCGACACCTCTTATTCAACGTTTTGGGATTTGGATTTGGGTTGCATGAAATGCACACCCGAGTTTAGGAAAGTAATATTATTAAAAGCGCGCCTAACGTGGCTAGCGTCTTATTAACTTTGCGGGAAGCCATGAAAATTCGCTACATGGCATGTCCCGGATTTCTACGTATTTTTAATATAAATATTTAAAGAGGGCCACGCAATTTATGGGTTTTGTTTGGCGTGGCACACCTCGTTTTTT